GGTATGCAGACATATCTCTGGTAAGTGCTTATAGTAAGGTATATATAAATGAGTTTATAAAAGGGGGCGTAGCACTTAACATAGGCGTGGAATTTTTTATCAGCCATAACTTCGGAACCACAAGTCACATGACCCCTTTAATTCCTTCTGACATGGGGTGAAACCCGCGGGTAAAAGCTGGTAATAATATATATTAATAATAACACCGTGCGACAAAAACAAAAAATTTCAAAACGCACGAAAGGATCGATATACTCACGAAACTATGGGCCAAATATAGTAAAACTGCGTTTTTAGTTTTTCACTCTGACGTCAGGATTTCTTTCAAAGGATATGATTAATTCAAAAAATTATTTAAGAAAAAAATCAGTGCTATGTAGAATAACAATATGGGTACCATATGAGAGAGAAAATTCTGTAGAATTAAAAAAAATCGTCTGGTTTACAAGGACGAATACGTATTTAAAATGCGCTTATAATAAATTTTATCTTTTATATTAGTCCTCAAACAATAATTTTTTCAGAAATAAATATTGCAAATTTTCAAGGATATTTAAGTATAAAATTTGTAAAGGACATTTTCCATACCCATTCGTCCTTATGCACCAAAAAATTCATTCTGTAATAGTTCTACCGAATATGTTATCCTAATTTGTACTGAATTTTTTACATAATTTTCTGAAATAATCATATTTTTTACCTTTCAAAGTCTTTTTAAAAACATCCTGACGTCAGAGAGAAAAACTATATATGGGTGTTTCCAGCGGAAGGTCCACCACGACAAAAAAAATAAAAGTTTTATATCTAACGTATTTACGGGCCGATTTGTCTCCTTTTTAAAATATATACTGGCTATGTAAGTAGANATCTTCCATTTTTCGTCATGTAACGACACTCTCTTTAAATGCTTATATTTCAGGACCAAGCAGTTCGATTGATTTAATTTTTCGGTTAAATATAGAGCTAATTATGTGCTATACAATGGCCCAAAAAAGTTAAAGAAAACAAATGGTATTCCTTTTTTGTATCACATTGAAATCGTACGACTGTCACGTGCGCCACCATGGGAATGCCCATATTCATTTTTTTGTGTGTAATATTTACTGTCGCACGGTGTAATAATCATACATAATTCATATAAATAGAGATCCAAGTAAATTGTTTCTGTTTCTCCGAAATTTCCACATGCATACATAATTTTATTTCATACCTTTTACTTTGTTGCATAAAAAATGTTTCTAAAGTATTAGTTTGCATTTATTTATTCAAAATTATTCGAATTTCTGCTCTTCATTTCCTCTATGATTTTAAAAAAATTTTACCAAAGAAATGTTACTGCTTGTATACGACAAATGTTTCTTTAGGGATTTGCTTAAATGCATATGCAAACATACTTATATACGTATTTTGTACATATCACAGGAGGCTAGAGAAATTAAAAATGTATTGTTTCGAAAAGGATAAAGGTACTGGTATTATTTATTCTCGTTTATATTCAATGAAAGGACATTTTCCATACCCATTCGTCCTTATTCACCAAAAAATTTATTCGGTAAAAGTTCTACCAAATATGATACCCTTATTGTTATCCTACATTGCACTGAATTTTTTACATAATTTTCTGAAATAATCATATTTTTTACATTTCAAAGTCTTTTTAAAAACATCCTGACGTCAGAGAGAAAAACTATATATTCATTTTTTTGTGTGTAAAATTTACTGTCGCATGGTGTAATAATCATACATAATTCATATAAATAGAGATCCAAGTAAATTGTTTCTGTTTCTCCGAAATTTCTACATGCATACATAATTTTATTTCATATCTTTTACTTTGTTGCATAAAAAATGTTTCTAAAGTATTAGTTTACATTTATTTATTCAAAATTATTCGAATTTCTGCTCTTCATTTTCTCTATGATTTTAAAAAATTTTTACCAAAGAAATGTTACTGCTTGTATACGACAAATGTTTCTTTAGGGATTTGCTTAAATGCATATGCAAACATACTTATATACGTATTTTGTACATATCACAGGAGGCTAGAGAAATTAAAAATGTATTGTTTCGAAAAGGATAAAGGTACTGGTATTATTTATTCTCGTTTATATTCAATGAAAGGACATTTTCCATACCCATTCGTCCTTATGGACCAAAAAATTTATTCGGTAACAGTTCTACCGAATATGATACCCTTATTGTTATCCTACATTGCACTGAATTTTTTACATAATTTTCTGAAATAATCATATTTTTTACATTTCAAAGTCTTTTTAAAAACATCCTGACGTCAGAGAAAAAAACTATATATTCATTTTTTTTTGTGTAAAATTTACTGTCGCACGGTGTAATAATCATACATAATTCATATAAATAAAGATCCAAGTAAATTTTTTCTGTTTCTCCGAAATTTCCACATGCATACATAATTTTATTTCATACCTTTTACTTTGTTGCATAAAAAAATTTTTCTAAAGTATTAGTTTACATTTATTTATTCAAAATTATTCGAATTTCTGCTCTTCATTTTCTCTATGATTTTAAAAAATTTTTACCAAAGAAATGTTACTGCTTGTATACGACAAATGTTTCTTTAGGGATTTGCTTAAATGCATATGCAAACATACTTATATACGTATTTTGTACATATCGCTAGCTTAGAGTTAAAAGTTGCTACGTCCTCTTTTTATGAAAACTCATATTTTGACACAGGAGGCTAGAGAAACTAAAAATGTATTGTTTCGAAAAGGATAAAGGTACTGGTATTATTTATTCTCGTTTATATTCAATGAAAGGACATTTTCCATACCCATTCGTCCTTATTCACCAAAAAATTTATTCGGTAAAAGTTCTACCAAATATGATACCCTTATTGTTATCCTACATTGCACTGAATTTTTTACATAATTTTCTGAAATAATCATATTTTTTACATTTCAAAGTCTTTTTAAAAACACTATATATTCATTTTTTTGTATGTAAAATTTACTGTCGCACGGTGTAATAATCATACATAATTCATATAAATAAAGATCCAAGTAAATTATTTCTGTTTCTCCGAAATTTCCACATGCATACATAATTTTATTTCATACCTTTTACTTTGTTGCATAAAAAAATTTTTCTAAAGTATTAGTTTACATTTATTTATTCAAAATTATTCGAATTTCTGCTCTTCATTTTCTTTATGATTTTAAAAAATTTTTACCAAAGAAATGTTACTGCTTGCATACTTATATACGTATTTTGTACAAATCGCTAGCTTAGAGTGAAAAGTTGCTACGTCCTCTTTTTATGAAAACTCATATTTTGATACAGGAGCCTAGAGAAATTAAAAATTTATTGTTTCGAAAAGGATAAAGGTACTGGTATTATTTATTCTCGTTTATATTCAATGAAGGGAAAATTTTCCCAAAAGAACCACCGAAAATCGAATAAGGCAAAAATACATAGCATACATAGCAATAAGGCAAAATACATATGGAGTTTTGCTTTCCTTTAGACGTCCAAAATATTGTATTAAAGTTTTGCGAAATGCTTGAAGAAAATTGCTATAAGAATTTTTTTCCTCTCCTGTAACATTTTTAAAATAGAACTTAAATAAAAATAAATAAATTTTAATAAACAAAAAAATACCCCACTCTTCACTGGTTTTTGAATCAGTGCAAAAAATTTGAAAAAAACAAGCTGCATTAAATTTGCAAATATGTATCACCAACGGCAGCTAATTTTTGTAAATTCGCCACAAATTACTCACTTCACCATAGAATAATAATAATAATAGATTGGCGATTACACATATGTTAGTGTTTGGCCGAGCTTCTCCTCCTATTTGTGGCGTGCGCCTTGATGTTGTCACACAAAGCGGAGGGGCCTACAGTTTTACGCCGACTCCGAACGGCGATTGTATTTTTATGAGAAGCTGCTTTTCATGGCAGAAATGCACTCGGAGGTTTGCCATTGCCTGCCGAGGGATGACCGCTGTTAAGAAAAAACCTTTTTTCTATATGTTTTGCGATGTTGCTTTGACCACGGCTTGAACCCAGGTGCTGCGGAGTGGAAGCGCGCACTGCTTACCACTACACCACAGCGGCCGACCCAAGAATACAGATTGTATTCTCTCAATCGTGCGGCCGACCTATAGAATATGGTAGTTAAAATTGGTGTGGTGAATTTCTTGATCTCAGTGGTGAGCTCCCGCATCTCAGATCTTCAAATAAGTACTTGAAGAAATGTTACTTAACTTTTGCGCCTTCTCATTAAATTAACATTCTCTGATAACACGTAAATGGCGTACAAGCAATGAATTATTACAGTTTCGGACATTTTCATTAATCCTAGAAAATAAGATAGACCTCAAAAGGGAATAAATTATTTTCGTAGAGGTGAGATTCATGGAGGATCACTACCAAATACTAAAATTTGAGTCAGTTTCCGACGCGTTGCAGGTTTTTTTTCTTGCGCTAATGTACATTCATATGTACAAATGTACTATAATTGTAATGTAATATAATTGGTATAATAAAAGTATAGTTTATATAAACTTTATATTGATTTCAAGTACCTCTGAGAAAGTTTATCGAAATGGTATATAAGAGATAAATAATGTAAATATTTACATATACGTTCTTAGCCATAAAAAGGACTTTTAGTGCTTTCCCTGTCTAACGATAGAAAAAGGAATTTGGAATCGTTGTCGTTTGCTCAATTATGCCCACTCAATCCCTTCTGCACAACGATTTGCTTGCTAGAAATGCTCTCCCGCAACCAGCGTTTAAAAAGCTCTCACTCTTTACAGTAAGTACTGCCGAGCAATGTGCAACGTTCTGCCGTAAATGTCGCCCAAAAAACCAAAACAGTGCAACGAAAATGTGCTCACCGGGATTGCACGACTGTTTTGCAAGTGTAATGCAAAATGCATGTTAATACCGATAAACGTAATTTTAGGGCACTGCAAGTGGGAATCGAGGTTTTCTTTAGTCATAATCTTCGCTTCTAACGGTCCGCATGTGGCTTTGTCGCGCTCGATACCAAAAGAAACGACAGTGGATAGTGAATTAGCCCAACCCTATAGTTACAAACGTAAAATTTTTTGGAAAAAGGATAACAGCATGTACTTACGCACGCATGTGCCAAATTTGCATGTATGTAAACTTTTGAGTAGGTAGGCTAGGGTATGCCTAGCGCTCGTATATTTAAAAAAAAAAACTACACGTTGCAGCGAAATATTTAGTATCTCCATTAAAAAAAAAAACATTTTTTACAGTACAGAATTTCTCATAAAAGGGTTTCAATAAATTGAACGAATTCCTTGGACTATGTGTATCTGATGTGCAAAATGAAATTCAAATTTATAACTTTGTACAAACACAGTTGCACAAATATAATTTTCTAGTTTCAAGTGTCTACAAAATACCGTTGATTCTTTTAATTATTTTTTTTTGCTGGCGGTATCACGCACTCTCTCCGTACAAAGTTACTATGTTCGACAATTTTTATTTATTTTTTTTTGTATGGAAAAAAAATTTGAAACTTGTACTTTATTGCTAGAATTTAATGGACTACAAAACTGCATACTCAGTTATGAATGAAAAGTTTGTTGTTGAGAAAATTTTTTGAATTTCTCTACAAGTTTGAAATGTGGATTTATATGGTGTTTAAGTATTGTGTATATAATTAACTAAACTTTAATAAGAAATTAATAAACATTAAATATACGAAAGAAAAATAGTCAAAACAGGTGAAAATGTCGTTTCCTTATTTTTTTCACATCACTATGTATGTAAAAAGGGATAGGTACTTATTACATGTTTACACGAACAAGTCGCTGTTAGCTTATATCGTCGTGCATTTAGGTAGCAAAAAAAGTATTTTTTCGTATAAATGCTGCATTTCGGAATCCAAAAAATAATTATACTGAAAAATAGGCGCGTGTAGCACCGTACACGTGATAGAAGTGAAACTTCTAAAACAGGTGTTAGTGCAGGAATTCACGAAATTGTATTAGCAATGCAATCAATAGATCCCTATAAATTCGACGCGATTTGTTACGATTCGCCCCGTGCATTATAACCAAGGCATTAAGTAACGTACGAGCTTTTGTTTGCAAAACGCATTTACAGTATATTTTGCTTTGCTGCCTTTATGCTTAAGTGCACATTTAAGATACCTACCCTAAAATGCGCATTAGCGGCATTATTTTTAACATTTATAAGGAAACTCCTCCGATATATGCATTCAACATACCTGCACATTGGCGATACCTGCCTTAAAAATTGTGCAACTAGTATCAATTATCAAAGAAAGTATTACGTTTACCTGCACTGACCCTACAATTAGCTAATTTTACAATCTTATTTATTTTGCTCATCTCGCGGAACAACGAAAATGGCTATCAATTTATGTAGTTATATAGATAATTAGATACTATTCGGTAAAAATTTCGTTTGTAGTAATTTCTACGTGGTAAGTGCTCCTCCATTATTTGGTTTCATAGGGATTCGGATACCTTCCTCATTGAAGTAGTAAAGAAAATTCGCTTAAGTGCTTTTTTCGGTTAAGTGCACAGGTTTTTCGTGCAAAGAAAGATGGGCAGCTAAGCAAAATACACTGTATTTAAATACACAGTTGAATGAAAACAAATTCCTTTGTTCGACATTTGCTTTTACTTGCCTTCTCTTTGCCAAACGTTGTATTCTATCATCGAAGACGAATTGATGTATTCTTATTATGTATATTTAAACAAAAAACATATAAAAACATAAAATCACCTAATAAATTATACGCACAGTTAATACGTTTATGCTTAGATGGATTTACGAAGTCGTTTCATGAATTTGGTTAGACACTAACCCTGCAAAAAGTGGGACTAGGTTAAATAATAATACAGGGCCACGCTACCTTGTAACCAGCACTAGTAATCAAAATGGTCTAAAGATATCGATGGTCCTCTGCAATAACCGCACAACTTAAAATTTCAGATTTTTGAGTGATATAGCGGATTAGGTTTATAAATAACTATATTTTTCTGTATCAAATCTACATAGGCTTAGTTGTTACCAATCCGGCAGAAGCGCAGTTTTGCCATTTGTCACAAAACCGAAGTAGCCAATTCTTACTATTGAACAGTGGATAACACTTTTCGTTTTGTGCCGTTGTTCAGCAATACAAATGGAATTTTTTTCGTTTAACTACTTACGAGCATTTTTGCAGTCCAACACTTACTAAATCTTTAGAAAAAGTCACAGTTTGAAAGCTTACAAATTTCCCTTACATAATAACTGCAAATAATCCGGAATAATTACGTTTCAATACAAATTATTGCTAAATTACGAAACACAAAATCTTTAATTGGCTCTACTGAAATATGTGAAATTTTGAGTTGTATCGTTATTGCAGAGGACCATCGATATGGAGAAAATATGGTTACATTAACATTACGTTGGCCACCCCTGGTCCAACGCTCCATAACATGGGACCACCTAGACAACTTTTCTTTTTGGACCATTGACTGAACTCCATAAGATTTGGTATAAACTAAATATTTTATCATTTTTAAAGGTGCTTTTTAAATTTAAATAGTAAAATATATTATTTAAAATCCATTTCCTTAAAATTAGCTTTAATAATATTCACATTCTGCAACCGAATTATATTACAGATGGGCCACGAAGACTTGGTGTTCAACACACCACCTTATCAGTTTTTGCTTAACTTAAGTGCATAAACACCATTTCGTGTATAATTGAAATCATGAAATGGGGTTCATGCACTAAGTTTCTACTCAAATTTGACATAATGCAAGCCACGTTGCGACCGTTGGTTCAGATCGATTCGCAATCAAGTTGAACGTTTTGCCAACAAACGTTACAATTTTGCGAGAAATCTATTGTACAATCTCATTTTTACAATTTCATAAGTTTCGGCATACATAGATACATCTATAAAATACAGCAAAAGCATGCATTTCGGCTGAGTTATCCATATTGGTTATTTAGTGAACAAATAAAACTGACATACATACATACATTTATGTTTTGTGTTAAACTGCCATCTATCGCTGCTTGTACATACATACATGAATTTCGCTTTGGGCGCAGCGCTGCTTGTACATAAGTTTCGCTTTGCGCCTGCCTGAAGCTGGCAAAGGTTCTTTTTTTTTATTTTTGCGCTGTGCTAGCTGAGTATAAACAAGTAAGAGCAGCGCTGTCTTCGGCTATGCCGAAGGCTCCATACCTTTACGTTAACAGATTACTGCATTTGAAAAAATTTATATATTCACAGCAGACATAGATAGAGGAGATACATATATAAAAAATTATAGCTAAACAATCAGAGGTATGGAAGATATACCTTATATAGCACCAATCTAAGTGATTTTCACTGATGTGTGATCGGTAGACTTTGTATTATTATTTAAAAAATAGCTTACGAAATTTATCGGTTTTAGCTGTCCAAATAAAGGAGTTTTACAGTAAAACCCCATATCTGAACAATCAGTTGTATGGGGGCAATAAGCAGGTTATAATGACCCGATCTTTGTTAATTTTACTGTAGACTTTCTGTTGATAATGAGTGAAAATAGTGCGAAATTTCATGTTTCTAGCTGCATAGATGGAGTAGTTATAACAAAAAATCGCATTTCTTGTATGGGAGCTATATGTAAAAGTGACCCGATCTTTGTTAATTTTACTGTAGACTTTCTGTTGATAATGAGTGAAAATAGTGCGAAATTTCATGTTTCTAGCTGCATAGATGGAGTAGTTATAACAAAAAATCGCATTTCTTGTATGGGAGCTATATGTAAAAGTGACCCGATCTTTGTTATTTTCACTGTAAGTATTCTGTTAATAATGAGTGGAAATGGTGCGAATTTCGATGTTCCTAGCTGCATAAATGAAGAAGTTATAGCAAAAAATCTCATATCTGAACAATCAGTTGTAAGGTGGATATAGGTTGTAGCGACTCGATGTTCACCATTTTCACTAAAAGTATTCTTTTGATAATAAGTGACAACAGTGCAAAATTTCATACGTCTAGCTACTTAAATGGCGGAGTTATAACGAAAAATCTTATATCTGAACAATCAGTTGTATTAGAGCTATATGTTATAGTAACCCGATCTTTGTAACTTTCACTCTAAGTTTTCTTTTGATAATGGGTGGAAGTATTGCAAAATTTCATGTTCCTAGCTGCATAAATGGAGAAGTTATAACGAAAAATCTCATATCTGAACAATCAGTTGTATGGGAGCTATATGTTATAGTGGTCCGATTCTTCCGGTTCCGACAAATGATTAATACATTATAAAAATACACTCACCTACCAAATTTGATCCGGATATCTCGAAAACTGAGAGACTAGATTGCANACGTCTAGCTACTTAAATGGCGGAGTTATAACGAAAAATCTTATATCTGAACAATCAGTTGTATTAGAGCTATATGTTATAGTAACCCG